TGGTATGGTGTTTTCTGAAATAGTATCTCAGTTTAGGTGGGGAAACAAGACTTTGAATTTTCTAGAAAGGACCCAACGACCCAAGCTAACATGGAGACAAGTGTATTCACAATAAATAATAAGTGTTCATTAATCATAAAAATAGATAATAAAATTATATAATTTATATAAATATAAAATTTTATTCTATAATAATAAATTATTTTATAATAATAGATTATTTTATAATAAAATAATTTTATAATAGATTATTTTATAATAAAATAAAAATTTTATATACTAATATATGTTATTATATATTAGTATAAACATAATAAAAATAGTAGTGAAAGGCCTTTAAGAGATTTATATTTCTTGTTTCCTATTTTCATATAGGACTGTGCATAATCTAGTTCTGTAGATGGTCAGCACTTCAGCTTAACTCAAAAAGTTTAACTTTTTTCAGCATCAATAAGCTTCTCCCTTATTTTACAGACTAATATCATTATAACCGTATGCAGTTTTTCTTTTAATTCTGACTGTAGTTACAATGCACAATAGCTGGCCTCCAATCTCTCTATATGTAATCCTTGAAAATAGTTACCAATATCCTATGTGTCTTATTATATCTGTGGGGAGCTAATTATAATTGTTATTACCTTAAATTACAAATTCTATTTTCCAATCCTATGATTATTTTATGTATTACCAATTACCATATGTCTCAAGACAGTTTATTTTTAATTTAATTCCAGAAGTGAACTCTGTGATTACAAGGACTGTCTATCATGTTTGCCACTAAACTCCTAAGCCTATAATAATGTTTAACACACACAAATATTCTATAAGAATGTGTTGAATAAGGATAATTAAAGTTAAAAAAATATGTTTTGGAGTAAGTATCAGGACACAGTTATGATAGTCTTTTCTTCCCTTTCTATATTTATATGTATTTCCATTTTGTATCTTCACCATTTGTTGTAAAATTTTATCATCTTTCAGTCTGATTTTATTCTTAATTAAGACAGTCCTGACATAATTTGTTTATTTTGCAGATATTCCCAGATATTAGAAAATACATTTTTTTAAGAAAACATAGTCTTATGTATTAGTCAACTTACTCAATATAAAATGTATAGGTCTGAATACGTATGTGAAAGAATTGATAAGAAAGAGATTTGGATATGAATGACTGATTTAATTCTGTTATTTAAGTCCTCTTTACTGTGTCACCACAAGATTGATTTGCTCACTAATCTCCCAAAATATCTAATAGAAATAATACAAGGAAACTTTTCAGTTCCTCAGTGCTTTGACCTAGTGGACTTGACCATTTAGAGATAACCTCAGTGTTACAAATTAATCTATTACCCACGAAATGAATATTCATGAACTATCTACAGCGCATGTGACTACCTTGGTAAAAGTTGGGTCAGTTACAATCCCTACCTATGAATTATCTCAGAGTCTGTGTTTTTATTTTTTTTAAGGGTTTGCTTACTTATTTATTCAGAGAGAATGAGCATGAGTGGGGGGAGGGGTAAAGGGAGAGGGAGAACGAATTCCAAGCAGCCTCCAAGCTGAGTGTACAGCCCAAAGTGGCACTCAATCCCAGGATCCTGAGATCATGACCTGAGTCGAAATCAAGAGTTGGACACTAACCAACTGAGCCACCCAGACAACCTCCTCATGGTCTGTTTCTAAGAAAAAAAAATGTAAAGCCCCGATTTCAGCTCAATATAATAATAAAAGTATATGCGAATTGTAGTTTGTGAAGAAGAATGTTTCTTGGTTATATGAAACAGCAGTTTGCAGCCTGGCAGAGTTATTAGAGGGTAATTCAAAAGTAAGATTCCCATATAAAATAGGGTATTTCTTCCTATTACTTGTGAAGATTGTTGTGAATATTTTCTTTGAACTTTTGCAAGATTACTTGCCTGTAATACGTATAGGCTGCTCATGCTCCAGTATTGTGAATTGTTAGTCATTTTTTTTTTCAAATGCATACTTTCTTCTCATTGAGCTTATAAAGTTTCTCATGATAAACTCTGTGTCTTCCCCATATCTCTCTCCTTCAGCCAGTCTTTGTATAGCACATCACATTCATTCATTATTCAACAAATGTTTACTTTGAGCTTACTGCGTGTCAGATATTATTTTTCTAGGTGCCAGGGATAAAGCAGTGAACAAAGTAAAGTCTTGACCCTCACAGGATTTGACAGTAATAAATGCTATGGACAAAAATAGGTTTGATGAGGTGGGTAGAGCATGTCAAGGAAATAATTTTTTACAGGTAGTCAGAGAAAGTTTCAGTAAGAAGGAAGGGATATTTGAGCTAAGACAGAGGTATGCAGATATCTGAGGAAAGAGCTCCTAAATAGGAGTAATGTAAAGAACTTAGACTGGTAGTATTTGGTTTCTGTTAGGAAGAAAAAGTCTGTTACCAGAGAAAATGAGTGAGGGCGAGAATGGAACGATGTCAGGTGAGAGAAGGTTGAAGGATATGGGTAGATTATGAAGGTAATGGGAAGAAACTTTAATTGTGCCTTGGATGAAATGAAAAATGATTAAAGAGTTTGAGTGGAGAGGAGAGAAATGATCTTGTTTACTTTTTAAAAGGGTAACAATGGCCCCTAAGTAAAGAAAGGACTAGGGAGGAAAGGGGAGTACTGAGGCAGAAATGAAGCTGGGCAAAAAGTTAGAAAGCTATTTTCAATATAGTTGACCTTGGACAATGTGGGGATTAAAGGAACTGACCCCTATGCAGTTGAAAATCTGCATATAACTTTTGACTCCCCCAAAATTTAACCTCTAAGAACCTACTGTTGACTAGAAGACTTACAATAACTTAAACAGTTGCTTAACACATATTTTGTATGTATGTTCTATGTATTATATACTGTATACTTAGAATAAAGCAAGCTAGATAAAATGTTACTAACAAAATCATTAGAGAAATACATTTAAAGTACTTTATTGAGTTTATTGATGCTGTAAATTTACATCATCTGCCTACAGGATAAAATGTCTGTCTGTGACTATATAAATATTGTTCAGTATATTTACTGAAACAAAACAAAACAAAACAAAAAAAACCATGGGGGCACCTGGGTGGTCCAGTGGGTTAAGCCTCTGCCTTTGGCTCAGGTCATGATCTCATGGTCCTGGGATTGAGCCCCACGTTGGGCTCTCTGCTCAGCAGGGAGCCTGCTTCCCCCTCTCTCTGCCTGCCTCTCTGTCTACTTGTGATCTCTGTCTGTCAAGTAAATAAATAAAATCTTAAAAAAAAAAAAGAAAAAAAACCATGTATGATGGGCCTACACAGTTCAAATTTGGGTTGTTCAAGAGACAACTGTGCTTCAGGCAAGAGTTAATAGTAGTTTGGATTGCACTGTAAGTAGTAGAGAGTGTGAAAAGTAGTTAGATGATGGATATGATTTGAAAGAATTAAAAGAACCAAAAATACTTTGTAATAGATTGAACACTACACTATATGGGTGATGGATTAGATGTGAAGTTTGAGAAAAAGTATTCAAGGATAATATGAGGTTTTTAGCCCAAGAAACAGAGGATGGAAATATCATCCATCATACCATCATGGCTTATGGAGTTGCAATGTGAAAGACTACAAGGGAAGAGTGTTTCATGTAGAAATCCAGAATTTGTCTTTTGTATACCAAGATTGTCTACTCTACATAAAAGTGGAGATACAAAAAAAGCAGTTAGATATATGGGTCTAACATTTGCAGAAGAGAATTTGGATTTGACATAATGCTTAGTATTGATGCAAAAATAATGTTTATTGTTCACTGATTCACTCTTTCAAATGTTAACTAATACTTTAATAAAATTGGAAAAACCAAACAAGTTCTTTCTTCCCAGATAAATATTTAAAAATGGTATCTTCTCTGCTTCAAACAATTATATATTTGACTTACCATTCTTGAGAACAAGGGGATTTGGAACCTTTTTCCAATTAGGCAAAAGAATTTAGACTATATTTTACTTGAAATGGAATCTCAAAGCTTACTGATAAATGGCTTTATTATACTAATTACTTTTTCTTTATTTCCATAGTCTGTCACTGTGCCAGAGGGAAATTATATTGGTCTTAAAGGATTTGTTCTTCAAATGGCCACATAGGTCACAACACAAAAACTTACTTAGTTGGTGGCAAATTTATTATTTAATGATTTGTCCCCAGTGTCTTTCTGGTGGCTATATTTAAAATCATTGGTCTATAAACGCTACCCTTTATGCATATGCATGGACATACAATATATTTCATTTAGAATCTTTAGACACATTTTTCATTCAAATATTCAAAAAGCACTGTTATTTAAAGACTCTGCAATAGCATAGAGCCATTTTTCAAGTATTCTTAAGCCCATTTGTACAATCAGAGTTTGAAAAATAATGTAAGGGGTTTGTACTTGACATTTGGGAAACTAGTACCTTAGAAGGAATAATTGAATGCTAGGGCATTTTTAAGACTTTATACATTTTGAATGACCTTATGCTTAAAACACTCTTGATATAGTTGAAATGCCCTTATGTTTCTTTCCATTCTCTCTCTACTTTAAGACTTTGTTGATTACCTCCAGTAGTATTCTTTTTATATTTAGAGAACTCAGACACAGGTATAGGTGTGAAGGGAAAAACTGTGGTCCAAAATAGCATGGTTTGACATCAGAGTTGCAAAATAATGTGAGATAAGTATTTTTTGAGTTAAATGAGTAGAAAAATGAAGAAAAAACAATCAAGGATGTGATAGGTCATTTCCACATATATCTCAAAAGTACTTTTAAAAAACCATTTGATTAGGTTCTTTCATGTTGTTTTAATATCTTTCTTGCTATTTGTGTTAGTAAATTGTCCTGAAGAATATCTATACCCTAGTATACCCAGGATGATAACCCCCAAAATACTAATACAATGTGATCCTAATACATACATTGATATCTTTTATAGTGTATGTGTATGTTTTTTTCTTTTTTTTTTTCTTTCTGTCTTATCCATAGAAAATGATACCATCTACTGGACAGACATGGGCTTCAATAAAATTAGCCGAGCTAAAAGAGATCAGACTTGGAAAGAAGATATCATTACCAATGGCTTGGGAAGAGTGGAGGGGATAGCTATTGACTGGATTGCTGGTATAATCCATGGCTTTTTCTATTCTCATTTCCTACCTATTCTGTTAGGATCTCAATCTCCTTCATAAAAATTCTGTTTCCAACTCACAATAATTTTTTTTTGTACTCTTAGCCACGGGGATAAATAGTCTTTTTGCTCTTGGCTTCATTCTTTCTAATGCTTTTGAGTCTTTAGACAAGTGTTTTTATGCAGAAGTAGATTATGTAGTGTTAACTTTGTCCAAATCTCCGGGGAACTGTGAGGCAGGTAAACAAATGTGTTAGAAGTTCTCTTTTGCCTGAAGTCAGTAGAAAGTTAAAATAGATCCCTTCTTTAGGTGAGAGAAGTTTCAACTTATTTTTAGCATATAAATGTATCATTATATAGTTTAAACCACAGATGCATGAGATTGGGAAGTATTTGCATATTAGTTTATTTACAACTTTCTGCTTAGGAAATGTACACATTAAAAAAATAGGAATATATGATTTCTTGATAGTTATGCAAATGCTTTAGAAAGTTAATTTTAGCCATAAATAATAAATACTTTTCTTTCTTACAACCATATTATAAACACACCTGTGTTTCTCCTAGGTAACATATATTGGACAGATCATGGTTTCAACTTAATTGAAGTTGCAAGACTCAATGGCTCTTTCCGTTATGTAATTATTTCCCAAGGCCTGGATCAACCAAGATCTATAGCTGTGCACCCAGAGAAAGGGTAATTTTAAGCTTTACATATATCTTGAGTTTTAAGTGAGTTTTCTTAAGTTTCATTTAAAAAATCCAGATGTTCATATTAATATTTATTTTTACTCATAGTATTTGAAATGAAACTCAGTATTTTACCTGAGCAAAAAAAGAAAAGTTTATTTTCACTCTGTGATGTATATTTTAGAATATATTTGATGAGGTCATATTTATTACACAGTTCTTTAATGGATGTGTAAATCCAAGTAAGTATACCAACATGTTTCTGGATTCTCAATTTAAAGTTCTCTCCTACCACTGTTTACAAAATGGGTATTCACTTACTTGATGAGTGATTAATATCCAACCTCATTCTTCAATATTTCTAAAGCTTCAATTTTCGTTTATAAGTCTATGATTGCTAAGACAACATGTTCATCCAAAGCTTTGTATTTTTTTCCCTTGAGTTCCAGATAAATATGTCTACCTGCCTTTTTGACATCTCCATTTTTCCATTTAGATGTTTCATAGATGCTCAAACTTTGCATATCTAAAATTAAAATGAATTCAATCTACCATCAAGTTCTATTAATATTTCTTTTCCAAATATTATCAATCTACTCTCAATATTATCAATCAACTCTCCATCTTTGCAACTCCCACTTTAATTAAATCTGTTCTTATCTTACACATACAACTCTGCAATAATTTCCCAGTTCATCTCCTAACATCATTAAAGGTTACAGTGAATTTTTTTCCTTTAATATAAATCTTGCTTAAATCCTTTTGAGGGATCCTCGTTGACTTTTGTGTAAAGCCCAAATTTCTGTTGTGATCCTTCTTTCATTTTTTTTAGTATCTTATGTATTTACTTGTTATTTATTTATTTATTTATTTATTTATTTTAGAGAAAGCATGAGCAGGTGGGCCAGGAACAGAGGGAGAGGGACAAGCAGACTCTGTGCTGAGTGAGGAGACCCATGTGAGGTTCTGGTACACGGGTCAGGGATCGATTTGGGGCACAATCTCACGGCCTTGAGATCAGGACCCTGAGATCACGAACTGAGCAGCAGTCAAGAGTCAGATGCTCAACCAGCTGACCTGCCAGGCACCTCTGTTGTGATCCTTCTGAATCAGGCCTTATATCAAGACTCAGGCTCATACTCCTGCTACTACTACTTTGTGATATCTCAGTCAGTCTCTGTTGGACTACATAGTTTTAAAAATATTTTCAGATACTTCCTGTTCTTTCCTATTCCTACCCTTTGAACAATCTCTTTCCTTTATCAGCAGTGTTTTTCTTCCTATTTTTACTTTGCTAAATTTTGTTTATCCTTCCCTGGCTTTGTAAACAGATTAGATTGTTCTATTCTGTGACACCAAAGTACCTAGTACTTTGATTACTTTCATTTTTTTCTAAATCCCATGCACTAATATTTGCTTATTTACTTATATTTATTTGCTTAGTAGCTCTGTTTTTTTTCTCTGGACTGGATGATGTCTCCATTCTTCACTGTGCTATGAGGAGAATAGTCATGCGCATTTGGTTTATTTCTCTATCCCCAGTGTTTAGTACAGTGGCTGGTAAAAAATAAGATGCAGACTGATAACTGTTTTTCTCTTAAGCAGTGATATCGAAGTCATCCTATTATAAAACTTTATATAACTTTCCACCACTGTGTTTCTTTCATTGCTACTATGATTTGACTTCAGTTTTTTGTTGGTTTTTAAAGGGTGGATGTTTTTATGTTAATAGAACTCCTCTTCTTTTTGGAGGGATGGGCAAGTGAATCATGGTGTATTAGATAACGTGATGCTGATTTAGAATGAAGTCAATCTATGTAAAACATCAAATTGGCTCTTGTGAAAGTCTACAAACTTTCTTATTTGTTATAGCTTGTTTGTTGTTTTTCCAATATCTTCATTTGCTTCAGTTTCTTGACAAATGTTATAAAATTAAGTCATTGTATTAGTACAGTGAAAAAGGAAACAAAGAAGATTAATATAGGAAAGTGAAATAACACCTGCAATTTGTCACACTTCTGGCTAAGATTATGTTGTAAAAATTAAAAAACTTGCATTGGTTAAGAATGCTCTTGGATGCAAAAATTTTGAGTGTAAATTTTTGGAGTTTTTCTATTTTTTTTTTCAACTCTTATCTTTACTACATTATATTCTGTCTTAGACTTCATGTCTTGGTCTCACTGTTGCAACATGTTTGATATATCATCAAGGAGTTTGTTTACACTTAAAAAGAAAAGGGAGAGGATAAAAACAGCTTTTCCTTGCTGGATCATATTTGGAAAGGAAAACATCTTTATGTCAATTCCTTTGTTATCCCTTAATCAGAAATAGATTACATGCCCATCCTTAGATCAGTCAATAGACAGAGGGAAAATATTATTTTGACATACTTAACAAGTTATGTCTCATCACATGGGCTTGCATGAGGTCCCAGACCTAACAATATGTACAACAAACTCAGTTTCTCAGCAAACTCAGTTTCTATTACTAGGACGGATCTTGAGGAAGTGAATTTCAATGAATTTCAAAGAGACATTATGAGGAAGAAGGAAACCAATTTTCTTGATTTTTCCATTTCAGTAGTCATTCCAACACGCTCTCCTTTCTTAGTTCATTTTCTCTTTGACACCTTAATTTTGGAGTTCCCCAGGGCTCAGTCCTTGGTGTCATTCTCTCTTCAGTAGTCTCATCCCACCTAAATGTTAAAGACTGTAAAATGTTGAAAGCAAGACCCACCTCACTCTAAACTCTAGATTTTTACGTTACGGACTACTTCTTCAAACAGATCTGTGGCAGATTTTATTTTCCAAGATGATTACAATAATATCTGTCATTTCACATGCTCTCCTTAAAATGTGATATTGACACTTCCAAACAGAGAAGTGGAGCATCTTTTTCATATACTTGAATTTGGGTGGATCTCTGACTATTATGGAAGTGATACTATGTAAAATCTGAAGCTATATCATAAGAGAAAAGAAAACTTCTACATGGTTATCTTGGGACATTCTTAAAAACCACCCTCTCTGCTGTGAGGAAGCCAAGGTACACCATGAAGGGGCCAGTGTAGGTGTTTTGGCTAACAACCCTAGCTAAGGTCTGAGCTGAGAGCCAGTACCAATTGCTAGATATGTTGAGTGAGTGAATCTAAATGATTCCAGTCCCTAGCTATTATGTTACCTCCACCTTGGTGGCACCACAGTGGATGTGAAGGAGGAATGAATGGTTCCTACTGAGCTCTTATCAAATTGCAAATGCAGAAGTAAGTAAGTTAATGTTGTTTTAAGCCTTTAAATTTGGAGGGGTTTGCTAGAAGCAATAGATAACCAAAAGAAGATCCACCAGAAATCTTAACCTTAACAGGTTCAAAATAGAACTGAATCTTTCTCTACAATTATGAGTCCTCCATTAGTTGATGCCTGTCCTGTTACTTCAGTTGCTTAGGTCAAAACACTTGGTATGATCTTTGGTGTCTATCTCGTATACCCTATATCTAATATACCAGGAATTCTGTTACCCTTTCAGTATATTTAAAGGCTCACAACAAACCCAGAGTAGTATTATTTCCTCTATTTAACAGATAAGGAAACTGAGTCAGCTATTTTAAATATTACTCTGCTTTCAAATTGATATGTGGGAGAGTTAGATTTTTTCTAAACTCAAAAGTCATGCTACAACATATGCATATGCATGTGTGTGTAACATATCACACACACACATATATATATAGGAAAACATTACAAAAATTAATAACCAAAAATATCAAAATACAAGGAAACAGTTTTAACAGTTTCAGGATAAAACTGTAATGAAAATTTAAAAATCAGAAGTATAAGTAAAAAAGAAGATAAGCCATAATGAGAAAATTCTGGAAAAAAATTAGGAGAAGAAGCTTATAAAATAATTTTGACTTGAGTCTGATTTCCCCTTCCCCTGTAGAGGCCCTTGCCTACAACCAAGTGTGTGCCATTACATCTTAAGACTGTGAGGGAAGGGTGTGCTTCTGTTTAATTCCAAGACTGTAACACATGACTCAATTGAATATGTCCATATCACACTCATAAACTTAAAAATAAAGTGTACTTTTGGCAATGTGATGGTACTTTAAAAATCTCTTTTTAAATTCTAATTTATAATCAAGCAATAAATCATTATAACCTCAATTGAGAAAACTTGATCGATTGCTCTATTGTGGATAATTATTCTAATGGTAGGAACAAATATAATTTGAATGTTATGAAATCCCAGAGATACATAGGAAATGAGTTTGTTTCTAATAAAGAATTTCTTCCCCTTGTATTTATAATAAGCCCAACACTTCATTTGTATGATCGAGAGTGTCTTGTGCCTGGCCTATTATAGATTCATGTAGTTCAATTTCGCAGGCCTCTTGCTGCTGCTGCTTGTCAATCTGTAGTTTTCTTTTTTATTTATTTATTTACTCTTTGTTGAAACATAGCATAGGACCTCAAGTTGTTGTTCCAAGTCTTCTCTTTAAGTATATTTTTATAACTCCACAGCCATCTTAGCAGAAAAACATACCTACTTCTCTCTAGGATGATTGAGAACATCAGGCAAAGGGACCCACATATACTCTGATTTCTGCCAGTTTATTAAAAAAAAAACAAACAAACATTTATGAGTGCAGCATGCTGGGTGCAAGGTCATGTCAGGGCATCTCCATCTCTTCTTCAGGTTTCAGTTCAGTACATCTTGACAAAATAGGACTGCTTATAGTGTGAAAGACACTGGTAGGCACTGTAAAGTATGATAGTATAAAAATCAGATGCTGCTTCTGTTCACAATGAGTTTTCTGTTTTAACAGTTTCAGTTAAAGTAATAGTCTCATATTGTAACGTGAGATTCATTTTCAGGTTTAAAAAGCCTAGATCAGTATGACTCAAGCCTAAATCTCATTCTAAAAATCATGTTAACCTAATTTCTGTAAGATCTTTGTGAAGTTACACTGAGTTTTAAGAAAGAAGAGATCGTGTATAATCAGAGTAG